CTGACATGTGGGTGATATGACTATAGAGTTGGAGTTGACTGAAAGTTGTAAATTATACACACACATACACAAATACACACACACACCATCTGGGAAAGATGAAGAATTCCACCCTTAGTACATAATGTCCTATAATCATCTCTAATCCAATTACGATAATCAGCATTCCTTTCTTTTCATGTTCTACAATATAGAATCTATACTTTCACATGCTCTGCAACAGAATGCCCTATTGACTAGACTTTTCATGTGGGTTAGGTCCCATCCCTGTCATCACTCTTAGCTATAAAATATAGGTTATGAGAGATTTAAAATAAATCTCTCCTGAAAGGGCCTGAACAGCCTTGCTTCTTATTTAGCTATATATTTGTTCCAGAAATTATTACCCTCTAGAGATCTGGTCATTTGTATAATTAAAAATGCTACCTAATATTTCAAAGTGTTTTTGGCCAAATGTTAATGAAAACCAGACATGGAAAGTACTTTATGATGAATGGACAAATGTAACTTAATAAGGGTGAATCTTAGTGGACTGGGAAACCCTTGAACCCTATAGTAAGATTTAATATCCCTTAGACAGCTAGCCAGTACCAGATTTTGAATTTAATTTGTGAAGGTGCTTAGCTTCTGAAATCACCTTCCCCCCAATTTTATTCTTCAATGGACTTTTAGTGTTGCCATCATCTTGCATCATCCAAAGATTACACTCTATTATCTCAAAGTTACTGGAAGTGTCTGGAAGTCACCTGCACACACTACTTTAAACGTTCTGACTAGCAGAGTGACATGCATATAGACTCAGCCAGATTTGGTAAGACTACTTATTTTTAAAGGGAGAAGCCTTCAAAAATATATTAACAGATGTAGTTTAACTTGAAGAGACACCTTATGGCATTGAAAAATAAAGTAATGACCGATAATTGAAGAAAATACTGCATTCCTTTCGTAGGGAAGTAACAATATTATATAGTCAGTCAGGGTGCTGAAGATCGGCTTCCTATGGTGTGGAAGTTAGAAAACTTCACTCTTTACTGTAAAGTCTGCTCTTTTCTTTTCCCTTTCTTTCTTTCTTTCTTTCTTTCTTTCTTTCTTTCTTTCTTTCTTTTTTAGGATATTAGGTTACTGAAAGGTGAAATGAATGTTATGCAACTAGAATCAAGTAAAAAAAAAAAGGGGGGGGGCATTATCCAGTAACCCTAACTGTCCTTGAGAGCAGTTTGGAGTGGGAGCCAAGTGTTTCTTCTAAATTTACAGTGTGTTCGAATTGCAACTCATATCTCACTTCTAACCATTCACTTGAAACAAGTATTCTGATAAACAAATCCACACCCAGCCCTGTTTCCTCTTCCCCTGTAAAGACTCTAACCACGAGAGGTGATGAGAAGTATGGTCAAGACCCACCAACAAAATATTTCTGAGGCCAGAGGATCTCAGTACACCACACAGGAACACAATGAAAATGCAAGGGTGGAAGGCTGGCTCATTTCAGCGTGTTAAGACTAGATTTTTCTGCCTACGTTCAGTGGAGTCTAATTTACTGTTCTCAATTACTAAACCATTTGTCTAAAGCCTGTCACTATCAAGGTGAGTTTGAGGATAGTCTGAAGCCTCAGAGGGAATAATGATAAACGCTGAAGGTGTCTTGAATCAGTGTACTCATTTCTTGCCGGCCTGTCTCCTCTGGTTGATATGGATGAAAGTATAAAACATATGAAAAAGTATGAAACATTTTCAACAGAACAAAACTCTGGCGGACACTATATATTGTGCCTTAAGTTTCATACACTAGGTCTCAAAATTCATGGATATGTCCCCAGTGCCTCTGGAATTGTGGTGACTACTTATGTGCTTGGCCATTATCTAAGCTAACCCTGTTATCTTTCTCCTTAGATCAGTCCACTTCTAGAGTACCCTCTTCTCCTTATAAAGCCTCAAATTCCGAAGTCAGCTAGAGTAGCAGAACTGGTGGGCTCCGGGTTCAGTGAGAGACTCTATTCCAAGAGTAAACCAGTGTTGGGGGGGGGAGACACCGGACAGTGACCTCTGGCCTGCATACGTGCATACACAGGCTACTGTACCTGCTTAAACCTGTTCACATAAAGATGTACACACACACACACACACACACACACACACACACACACACACGCACACACCCCACACCCCAAACCCTTTTGAATGTGAATACCCCTAGTAACAATTTCTTTGTTCTCCAATGATATTGACTTATTTACTTCTGGTTACTTGGGGCTGGTTAATAAGGACTAAGAATTATAATTTTTAAAAATGTGCTGGAAGCCTTGCTCCAGATGGGTTTGATGACCTGGGGTGTGTAAATTCGGTGCCATAAAGAAATTGTGGCTACCTGTTGTTCAAGCAAGTGGCCCTGAATATCCTGGGGTATCTTTATAGTTTTAATGGTTTGCACGAATAGTTTTACAATCAGTTTTGCTTCCTACATTTCTATGAATAGTTACAATAATTATCAATTTGTTCTTTGCCTCTCCCCCTTTATTCCCCAACCCTCCCACCAGTAGCCATTACCTTTTTTTTTTTTTTAAATCTATAATCTATATCTCTACCGTTAGAAGCATAAGCAGTCTTGCAAGCTACAAAAGAACCATTCTAACTAGGCATACCTAAGCAGTTACAGAGTTATGCAAAGTAAGAGACACTTTTGTCTCCATTAATATTTACATCAGGTTCTCTGTACTACTTTATCCCCTCTGGGGATATACCAGGTTTTCTCATTTATTCTGTAGGCAACATAAGCTGGAAACTTACTCTTAATAGTTGACACTGTTTAACCCTTCTCCTTATGTCTGTCTCTCTTAACTTCTTGGGGCATTGGCACAATTATTGGAAATGAGGGATCCTTTCTCATTCTTCATTTGGTTTACCTTGATTCCTTGATCCTAGTCTGTACCCATTAACTCCTAATATCATCTATCTGGTAATGCTTCTTTACAACTCTTACAAGTGAAATCATTCTTTGCAGAACAGTTATGCAAATATGTAATATTAAACTTTATGACCTCCTGTGAATCATTCAGTATGACCAACATAGTGAAAAATAGAATGAGTAAGATACACACTTCCAGGGCCATGGCAAGAATCACGCAGTGAACTGTCAACAGGTCTTTGCCAAGTGGATCAGGGTCTCCATGGCCTTACCACAAGGAGAGCCATTCTCGCTGCTCTCAGGACTTGCTCCCCAAGAAGACACATGGATCTTGCCAAAAAACAAACAAACAAACAAACAAACAAAAAACAGTCTTCCCTTTCCTCGGTGAGGGACACAATAGACCGAGGGTAATGTTTACTGCACCTTCTATTATTATTATCCCTAGGATTTAGCAGCATGCTCCCTGTATTGTAGGTGATTTGTCAAAATGCATTGATGATGAAGAAAACAGCGCTGGAAATCATACTATAGAGACAGACGGCTTCTCGCTGTGCACCCAGATAATTTAAATTGGTTGCAGCAGGTTTAATTCCACAAATATCACCTACATAAATTTCATACCTTTTTCTTGTCTCTCAGTCAAAGGGGGGGGGGAACAAAACATAAATCTGAAGATAATGGAAAAGGACATGTTCTAATGTCCTCAGGAAGAAGAAAACAAAATCTATTCATGTTTGTATAGTGAAGCGGAAAGGGAAAATAACACATGCAGATGCCGGGAAGCATGTTTTGTATTTCGATGAAGAGGGATGTCTCATATTCATTACCTTTGCTTGGAGTTCATAAAAAAAATTGGAAGTGAAATTGGGACAAACCACATGATATCTTGGGATATGACTAAGAACTCACTTGACATTTAAGTGTATCCAAACATCGCTTGCATCTGACTATTTTCGGAAGAGTAGGCCACCTTAGGAGATGTTTGTGGTGTTGTTGACATTCTTAAAACAAGGGCTCTTTCACACAATGCTGGGAGTACAGGACATGTATTAAAATGAAACAGACAAAAATGCTTTTAAGTCATGCTTATTTTTGATGTAGTAATTTAACATTTGGGAATCAATCCTAAGGGTATAATAGGAAATGTACATGAAAACAAGTTTATTCAAAACATTGGAAATATTATATTTGTCTAAAACTAAATAAATTCAATACAGTATAATCACTTGGTATATTGTATGTAGGCACCAAGCAAAACAATAGAGTTTTTGATGATCTGAAAGTGCTTTATAGTAGTATAATACTGTTTTTTAGTAGACAAAGTAATCTGTTTAAGACATTTCCATATATACATATAATATATTTGGATTGTGCATGTTTTTTCTTTGTTACTGCTTTTAACACATATCCTTTTCTTTGAAAAAAAAATAGTATGTATTGCTCCATTGCTTTTAATAAAAAGGTAGAAGATATCAAAATTATTTCTTTAAATACTTTAAGGGAAGTTTCACACACAACCTTGATTTTCTAACCTAGCCATAGTTTTTTCAAACCTACTAAAAATAATACATTTTAAGGAATATTCATCCTGATAATTAATGAAAATATGTGAATAATTATGGATTTATTACAAGAGTGTGAAGAAACATCAAATATTGGGCTTTTTAAGAAGGAATCTCATCGTGTGTGTGTGAGGGGGAGGAAATTAGCATTCTATTTGTTAGTTAATTTGGAATAGTATTCTGGCATAATAGGTCTCTGGACAATGTATGCATGTTTTTTCATGGTCCCTGAAGTCAGGTGTGGATCAATCAACAAACATGTTCTGCAAATCCTGGCATTTCTTCCTTCCGATGTCTGAAATTATTTAAACTTTCTATAGGGATTTAGCTGCCGGCATTTCCTGATCAGTAGCTTGTTCCTCAATGAGGAGAGGGTTACCCAAATGGGGTCTGACTTTGACTTGATATTTACAGACCAAAATGTCATATGTAGCAGAAGACGCCTGCAACCTATTTGAAATTTTCCACAACCCAGGTTATACTGAATTTCTGAATGATTTGATTTATTCATACACACGCATAATCCTTGCTAG